CCAAAAACCATCTGCAGATCCTACAGTAATCCTGGGCCAACACAAATCAGGATCTGGCCCAGACTTTTAAAAAGTGAACATTCCTGGCACACAGACCAACTGCAACACCAAGAAAGCGACTTGTTGAGAGTTAAAGAGATTTACGGTAATCAGATATTAACCACAGTTTACTGCTTGACGTTGTATTTTAAAAGTCATACTCTGTTCTCCCAGTCATACAGCTTTTATTGTCAGACACACAGGAATCTAACAGTAAAAGCTGTTCTTTTCTTCTGGGAAAGACGATGCCATTATGGATGCAGTCTAACATGCAAAACAAAGTTTATTCTAATAATTTCTTGGATCCATATTTACAACAATGACTAATTCCAAGTTGGACTGAATTCCTGTAGACGGCATAAAAAAATTCAAAGGTACCAACTGACCATGCTTGTTCAGCAGGGGGCTGCGCCAACACTTCCACTAGAGGTCTAGGAGGGGCTCGAAATATAAAAATGTCATGCATTGGACAACTGCAGTGTGACGGGAGGCTTACTGGCTGAGCGGGAGGTCAGGGACTGTGTGTCAGAGCCTCCACCGGCCTCTCATGCCGCACTGATGCTCGCCTTCTCCAAGCCGCCGTCTCTCACTCCTTTGCTCCAGGTCTTATGCACCGCTACCTCAATGAGACGGCAGATTCTTTCAAAAGGCCACTGCAGCCTTCTGTACTTAATCCCATTCGCCCCCGACATGCCTGACTGATGATGTCGGACACACGATGAGTCCAGAGCGTGACGGCAGATTCTCGCGCATGCAGGATGGTGGTGACCCGCCGCACACGTGATACAGGGACTCTCCCAAGCATAAGCCACTTGTTCTGGGGACATTTCTCACTAATTTGCCCCCTTGTGCAGCCCATTAATCAGAGCCCTGCTATCGCTGCTGTGACCCAAGGCAATAGCCACGCTCCTAGCCACCCCCCCTGGCCACGCCCCTGGCCACACATCCAACTGTAACTTATGAACAGATGGCCATAAAGCCTACTACAATAAAAATTTGAGTTAAATACAATGGTTCATAATAACGAACACACTCACTACTTGTGTGACGCGTTTGAAAATATTGCACGGCTTCAGCGGTTCGTCAGCAAGAGGTACAGTACAGTACCGTATGTAGTCACTTTCATTATTACTGTATAATAATAATAATTATAATTATTATTATTATTATGACTTTTATTATGTACTGCATTATTATTTTTCCCAACTTACAAATTCAAGTTAAAGACAGACTTAAGGAACGGATCTTGTTCGTATCCTGGGGGCAGCCTATACCCAGTTTTAACTTACTATCTAATACATCCCAGATCTTCACAGGCACTGTTTTTACAAGATAGTCAGCATTATTTGTGTCACATGGGGGTGGTCATAATGTTTTTACTCATCAGTGCGAAAATATCTGTATGTAAATCAACTTTTTATATAGCAATTTAATTGTATGCAAACAATTTGCGAGCTATGCAATGACTTTGGACCAAAGTCCTATGATACATGTCAATAAAAATTTCCTTCCTCCGCATCCTGACTGTTGTCAGCTGTTCCGAGAGGCGAGTTTGTTCACTGTAACGCAGGGTTCCCTAATTCCAGTCCTGGAGGACCAGTTCACGATACAGTTTGCAGAATTCCCCACTCAGACACGCTACTAAACCTGTCAATTCGCTAATTCAGATGCGTCTGCGCAGGGAAATCTGCAAACTGTGTTGGATTCTGGCCCTCCAGGTCTGGAACTGGGGATCCTGGCTGTATAGGGTGAGTGGCAGGCCACAGAATCTAAAGAATAAGCTGAAAATGATCATTCACAGGGCTCAGGATCCATCGGCATTTACACATATAATTGCTCATTTAGCTACTTCTCTACTGTATTTCCAAGAACCTTCTGTACTTTCAGCTGGACCCAAACTGACCACATACTGAAGCCATCGCCACCTACAGTACATTTAGTATCTACAGTATTTATGTCTATGGCAGTGCAGGACTGGATGCTAGAAATGACAGGCTACGATTCTCCAACTCACCTATCTTCCCAATGAACACAGCATGCAGATTTTTTTTATCTTCTCTTCAGGTCAGCATTTTCAGTCCACATTAATCCCAAGTTCAGAGTGGACTGTTTAGTGGGGCATCCTCCATATATGGTCTGAGGACTTTCTGATCGAAGTAAATCATGAAACTGTAGATAGTTCCCTGTACAGAATTATGAAGCAAATTCCATCCACCCATCCATCCGTTTTCTGTACCTGCTTGTCCTATGCAGGTTCATGAGGGTTGGAAGCTACAGGCGTAAGGCAGGGAATAACCCAGGACGGGGAGCTAACCCATCGCATGACACACACACCAGTCGCACCTATGGACAATTTCATAACTTCAATTAGCTTCAGCATGATTTTGGACTGTGGGGGAAAACTGGAGTACCCGGAGGAAACCCCATGATGACACGGGAAGAACATGCCAACTCAAAAAAAGGAGCTATGGTGGAGACTCAAACCCAGGTCCCAGAGGTGTGAGACAACAGTGCTAACCACTACACCACCGTGCAACCCTATCAGGCGAATTATTTCTATTACTAACAAAATGGAACAAAAAGGACCTGACAGAGAACACAAACAAACAAATAAAGAAATAAATAGGCAAACAAACAAACAAAGATGGCAATATGCCTGTGAGAGGGACGCAAAACAGTTGAAACTGCCAAACTTTTAAAACATGATCAGACTTCCAGAAACTCTTTACCATCAAATGCACAATCTGAATGGAATCTTTGGAAATACTAGTAGCAGGTTGCTACTGTACGTGACATTGCTAAGGTCACAAAGGCTGGGACAGGGACTCAACTCAATAAGGCACACGGGCACGAACACCACTCAAGAGTGATTTTACAAAGGTTTTGTGGACAGATGAAATGATACTGACTCTTGATAAACCAGATGAATGGGCCAATGGAAAAACACCTTCTTCCACTATCCACAAGGTGGAGTACGAGTAATGGTGTGGGCAGCAATTATCAGTGATGAATTTGTAGGATCTTTCCGACCTTAAAGATAGTGTAAAAATTAACTACATGATCTACTGCCAATTTCTTGAAGATACCTTCTTCCTTCAATCACTGGTACAAGAAGTAGCCAGCAGCTTTCAAAAAGATTATGATATTCATGCAGGACAAGGCATCAAGGTATTCTATAGATTGGGCAAGAATGGCTGGAAAGGTCATGGTCCCTTCATCACCTGACTTAAACCCCATTGAGAAATACCAGGACTTAGTAAAGCATGAGATTTACCAAGGTAGCAAACAGTACATGTCTCAGAGCAGCGTCTGGGAGGCGATCCTACCTGCCTCAGCTAATATAGGATGTGAGCGAATAGGAAACTTGACTGGATCAATGGACAACAGGCTCATGATTGTCATTAAAAAGAAAGGTGACTACACAGGCACACGGGCACGTGAATGTGAGGCATAAATTGTACAGCGCTTTGAGTACTTGTAGTAGTAGAAAAGCGCTATATAAAATGCAGTCCATTTACCATTTTACCATTTACAGGACATTAGACCGTGTAGAATAGACTATAGAAAAGTTAAAATATTGTTATTCTTTATATAGACTGAATAACTAAAATTGTTTTTTATTATTATTTCTGTTGATAGAAAAGAGAGAAAAACCAACATAGTTTCTGATTGTGCACAGCATTAATTACGCGTTTTTCTTTTATTTATTTTCGACGTGAAAGAAAAATGTGTAGTTTTCTCTCTAAATAAATTGGGAATAAGAAATCTTCTAAATTCACTTTTATAATCCTGCCTAAGTTTTGCTGAAAATTAACTCCAGGAATAATACTTGCCTAATAATTCTGCAGACAGTGTAGCACCAAAAACCTAACCAACCATGCTAGAGCGTGTGCATTAAAACTATTAGCTGCCATCATGAAATTGAAAGGAGATCAAGGATGTTATGTTGTGGGGGGGGGTGCAGGATGGGACTGACTGTCTCAATAGCCATGTCTCTGTAGACCATCACAGGATATTCATCGACAATTTGGGATCAATACAACTCAGAGCCAAATGGATTCCGGCTTACGGCTCAGACAGGAAGCAGCAACGGAGCTGCAGAATCCGAAACCCAATGTTATGTTGCACAATAACTAGTATTTCGAGAAACGAGCACCTTATGGCAGATCGGAGGATATCCAAGGCTCAGTCCAGAAACTGCCATGCATAGCAACACAAGGATGCTTGTAAAAAACAATTGTAAAAAAAAGAAGAAAAGTAAAAAGAACCATTTGAGACTTAAGGCCTGCAAGCTCCCTATGCCCGTTCATGAGACCCCAAAACTCCGAAGATCCTACCTTCATTATTATCTAAACTGAAGAAAAACACTGCTGAAGTGTTATTTGTTTTTTTCCACCCATTTGACTTTTGACTGAATTGTACTTACGCTGTACACGCTGCCCAAGCTGCTGCATAATGCCAGCCTGGCAGAATCCCATAATACCAGCCTTGTGCCATGGGGACAGAGAGCACTTTTAGCCAACGGACAATAATATATTACAAAGAATTCCACTCAGAAACAATACGGAAAGCAGAGGCACAGGAATCATGGAAATGAGGAGCGTATCCCCTTCTCTGACCTTCAAGGTGGATACTCGATCCATGTCTCATTCACCAAATCCAAGTATACTTTCCAATAATTTACTCTTCTATTTACTCTACTTCTTTCCATGTTTGCATTTTCCAATTAGCTACTTTAATTTCAATTCTAAAATGCACCGATAGTACTGCTGTGCGAAAAAGACAAATGAGAAGACAGTCCTCTTTATCTTCTCTTTTCTCTAGTGCAGCAAAACGTGAATGTCAGTTTACCCAACACCATTACTGTACATTAATACTGCAGGCTGATGTGACTGACTGAGTAAAAAATAAGTGCTAGCCCTGCAAATTGATTTGATGTTTGACGCTCTCACTGCGCACAGGTTACAGCACAACGAGGAACTAAAGATGTGCAACACGGGAGGTTTACATAATCAAAATAATGGAAGAGATTCCACTCGAGTTCGGCACAAAATGATGGCACAATAAAGGTATGCCATTTGTGCTATTAATAGGTACCTTATGAACAGAATAATACATAAGTAATTTATAAATGGAAATTCACTCCTGCAAGCCATTGAAGTGAAAGTGGTAATAATGATTTTCAGTAGAATTTCCCTCCAATTCAGTTCATTTACTGAGAAAATTAGTACTATTTTAAACCAGTACTAGCTTACAAAAGTATTCATTTTCCTATCAGTTACAGTGATAAAAAATACTTTAATTCTTTAAATCGACTATTTTCTATTGAATGGGGTTTTGCTTTTGCTTAGAGGATCATGAAACATTCATGGAAATGTGATGCTGAAACTGCGTTTTGCATCGTACAGATGATTCTGTCCTCAGCTGCAAGGAGAGGCCTGCGAGTCAGAACGCAGTGAGTCAGCAGTCTGCCGCACCCCCCCCAGCCCTCAGGAGGAGGTTCCCCACACCTCCGCAGATGCTGCAGCCCTTGGGGTCACCAAGAACGCCAGCCCAACCCACTGCTGCACCCGCACCTGCTCCGCCTTCCTCACCACCTGGGTGTCCTACACATAATAGATGTGCATGAAAAACTGGGGAGGAAAAGCTACCAAATATATTTCCTGTTTTCCAGTGTTTTATAGTATTCACACAACAGCAATAAACAGGACTGCAGTCATACTGACAGATACACAGAAAACCATGGTCTATTTTAATAATACTGAAGGATTCAAAATACTGAAAATAACGGAAAAAAAAACACATTATGAAACATGAACACCTGCCAACCGCTTGGCATGTTGCCATGAACTCGTGAAGTTAAATTAAGAAAGGATACAAGCTACTTTAATCCAGCATGACAGGTGATTCAGTTCCAGGTATTCCACCCATACACTCCTGCACCAATAAAACCAGACAGACAGCCAGAAGGAAAAAGAAACAATTTGTAAAGAAAGAGGGTAGGTCAAGGCAATCTGAAAGGCATTTAGTTCACCAGAACAAATGCAAAATTGGAGCATACCAAAAAGGAGACCAGACATTTTTCTAACTTATGTTTTGGTTCCACCTGAGTGTGATGTTACTTGATCTTCTGAGCCATGTGGGTTCACAGACAGGTATATTTACCTCTCACACTCTGTAGAACTGAAGAATACCCCACGTTGGAATTCTCTCGTTCCAGTATTCTTCTGAATAAGACCTCGGCACTTAGCTCAGAAAGCCTTCATTGAGTGTGTTTCATTTGAACCTACCAAGAACTGAGAGGACCTACTGTACATGCAAGCTTCATCCTTAGTTCCGGAAATCACAACTTAACTACACAACAGCAATCCTAAAAACAAGACAGTGTGTAAACATTTTACAGCTACAGATTACCATACATTTTCATTGTCGCTCAAATAATTAGCCTGGCCAGCTAATGTTTATAATGCCCAGAACACTGTGAAACTTAGACAAATATCTTTAGAGACTGGAAATTCAATTCTTGATTCCTGAATACCTACCGCACAAATATCATTTCACTTGTAGGTCATCAGGAAATTGTTCTTAATGACTTGCCTGGTTAAATAAGGATTAAATAAATTAAATAAAAAAGTGAAAACCCTTCACTCAAAGCAACCTACAATTCCAAACATTCATGCAAATGGATACTGTACTGGAGTCAGAAGAGAAGTGCCTTATTCAAGACTAATCCGGCAATGTCACGTCTCGACTAGAACTGGCAAACACCAGATCGTAAACCCTCCCCATTCTTAGCTATATGCTATATGGTGACTTTGTACCTGTTTCATTTCATTTCAGTGACACAGAATTCAAGACTCAAATTCTCCAAACATGCTACAGCATTTGAAAGAATCTACATTGTTTCTGTTTCTGACTTTAATCCTGTTTATTATGATACATTTTATACATTTGCGCAATTGTATCTTGGGGATATTTACAATACTGCGTCACACTGCATTTATTGCATGGCTTTTGTGTATGTGTGAGATCTGTGGCATGCAGACACTCCTCTTCTCCAGGAAGGTCTGGAAGTGCCAGAAAAATGCATCTCCTCCCCAACTCTCCCGGAAATTGTGTCTCAACACCCTCACCACCCTATTCACACAATTACCAGCAAATTATTAAATCACGCCTCTATGCTTTTTCATTGAACAATTGTTTCAAAGGTGGGGTCTCTGAGCAGACACTCTTCCCTGCTGCAGAAATATTAATTTCCTCCTGGGGACCAATACATTATACCTATCAACCTAACCAGGCAGTAAAGCATAGGAATACTACTCGCTTTGACTTAAACAACACTCAAATATAATTCCTACACTCTCAAAATGTCAGGTTCTTAAATACAGAAGCCTATCTTTGTTCATTTACATTTAATTTAAGGAAATGAGTGTGGGAAAAAGGGTACAGGCCTGGTACAATTTTGTTCCCAAGGTACAAACAACACTAATGTATCCCCAATGGTACAAAAATGTTCCTTAGAATCCATATCTATACCTTAAAATGTATGTTTACTTATAGTTAGGGGAGAACTGGCAGACTGTTGAGGGTACAGCCCCAGTGACAAGTAATTGTACCCTGAAAAGTAAACTTTTTTTTCTGACAGTATTGCTGAATGGAGCACGGAATTATACAGGAATAGTTCATTTAAGTATATTTGTAATGCCAGTGTTTGCCTAGTTGGCTCTACATCACATGTTTGCCACGACATATGATAAACATAAAGAAACCAAAATCAGACCTGGGCATGGAAGAAATTTGAGTTCTGAGCTGGAATCAGAAGGAACAAGTCCAGATATTGTCAGAAGGAACAAGTCCAGATGCTTGTGGTGCCATCATTCATCCTGACTCAGGCGCACGTTGTGTGTATGTTTGTGTGTGTGTGTGTGTGTGTGTGTGTGTGTGTGTGTGCATGAATATTGCATCGTCCTCCATAACACCATGATGTGGAGCGAAGCCTTGGCTGCTGTCAACGCCGATAAACTAGGAGTGCGTGAACAAGTCGGGGACAAAGAGACACAGATAAAAGGCAAAGGGAAAGTGGCCGAGAGAAACTGCCCTGGGTCTGCTGATGCATGGAAAAGCTGAAGGCGTATTCAAGCAGACATCGAAGGCCTTAAATGTTTCACTTTACAGAGAAGGGAAAGTGCTGCGGGCAAACGGGACCTGTTTTCAGCGTGGCTTAAAATGAGCTGTAGATAATTAACGCGCAACTGGGGGACAACTGCAACACCGTTTCTTAATTTAACTTTGCAACTGTTACATTAGCTTTCTTATGCGCGTTCATTTTTTAACGCACGGTCTCAGTCTGGACGCCGGCGCCGGACATCTGTCAACAAGCCGCGGCCACATAAAAAGTCCGCGGGGGTTAAACCTCTGCCCCGTTATCCACCCACGCCGCCCTAAAAGCAGACAAGCTTTTTTTACAGGGCTCAGAGCGACTTAGGGGACAGACAGGGGCAAACGGGCTTACGCAAGACGTAAAAGAAGCGCCACTGCACCACTTTAAGGAGTGCCTGAGGTCGGCGCTGGACCGGCGCTCCGTGGACACGCTTGTCCCCAAATCTGTCACTGTCACTGGCGTGCGTGTCCCCGGCCCGTTTCACCGACCCCGCTCTTAGGTGCCCCTGGACCGAAACGCGGCCCATTTTGTAGAGAATGACTCACCGTCTGCTTTTGACAGTTTGTCGGGAGTCTTTGTCCGACGCTAGCCTTGCGCTGGTTCTCCCTCACTTACTGCGGTGCTGCGTGACCACGGAGCGACACTGGCATCCACTTCCCCGCCTCCCGCTCCACGCACTTTCTCGGACTGTAAATGACTCCGACCTATCACAGCTCAAGAAGCAAAACAGACGGCCAAATAAACCAATCATTATAAAGCACGAGGAGCCCGGACGGCCAGGGACTTCCAATCGCATTTCAGGATTCCGTCCTGACGCCTTCCAAACTTCCTTGCCATGATCCCTGCAGCGAATATACTTTTGACGGACATCAGTATCACGCAAATGAACAGGTTTACTTCCTTTTAAGGGACAGTATTTGTCCAATAGTTGCTTAGAGCGGTTACGCCAATAGGTACGTTTTATATGGCCACCCAGTGGTTCCTGACATTATCCTGCGAAAACTTCAGAATGTCCCCATTACGGACTTACACTCGGTGCGTTGCACAGAAATTGTCCCCATTTACATGGTTGCCAACTCTCAGGCATCTGGCGTGACACTCGCGCTTTCAGACTCTCAAGATAACGCAAGAAATCATCACAATAAATCTGTATTATTCCATTATAATCCAAAAATTAGCTACATCAAAATCGTTGGGGTCGTTTGTAAATTCTGCAGACTATTTACAAGGTAATAATTAAAACTGTCACATACATGTAATGCGTGTGCAGATTTGTCTCAGACTGAAAATCTCACTACAGCCATCTGACCAAAATTGGCAACCCTGATTTATGAGTGAACCAAGCAGAAAGATAAATTACTGAAGAGCCTATAACAAGCACACAAACTGATGAATATAAAGAATTTGTCATTTATCAGAATTAGGAATATTTTGTCTTACATTTCTTACCAACAGGAACATAGGAATGATCATAACAAGTAAACTTTAAACTATGACTAATCGAAAGAATAATAAAATGTTCGAAAGGCCAAAATACATCTGGTTTGTAAGATTATATTCTGGCTTGAGCGATAGGTGACTGAGTCTTGACAAGGAGCCCAACCTCGCTCATATGATTTACACCTGCAGTTTTCAGGATTACATTTCCCAGCCACGCATGCTTCAAATGGATTATAAAAATCAAACGAAAAACTAGAATGGTTACTGTAGCTACATGAGAAAGAAAGAGGGGATAATCTGACAGGCCTACAAAGTCGAAGTATACGTTCACTTGTTTGTTTGTTTGTTTGTTTAGAGATAAATTACTGCAAACATTGTCCTCACATCCTTATTAGGTATACATTTACACCTGAGTTAATTATCTAGAGCTTGAAATCAAATGGATCAATATGTGATTATATAAATATAAAGCACAAAACTACATATAAAGAGTAACGAGGAGAAACAGCAGCGCGCGGTGTGTTTCAACGCGCCCGAGGAAACACTGCCCTCTAACGTGAGCATGGTTGTCGGGGTGAAAAACATTATTAAGTTAATGTCGTCATCTCTCCAAACTTCCATGGCTGATTTACAGAATTTGTGGAGATGGATTCTTTTCATTAAAAAATAGTTCAGAATCGTTCTTAAATTCGCTTATTTCTGGGCGGGGTCATTTGGATATTTTATTATCGGGCTGGAGCTAATCCCTTTTATGTCTAATAAGAATACGTTTTAGGTTACAGTAGGCCTATTCGTTGTGTTGTATATAGGCTAGTTTAAACTGATCGCAGATTTTTTTTCTTTTATTTATTTTTTAACTGATCGCATTTATATATGGGTCAAAATATTATGCGTATAAAACATAACGACATATAAAATGCTCATAAGAAATATACTGCTAATAACCTTATATTGCTTTCAGATATTGAGACTATAATCATGGACTAAAAATATTAAGCGTTACTGTTCGATCTATTTATCATACTTAAAGTCGGATTTATTTACTGTACGAAAGAAGCGACTTTCCAGCTTACAGAGTCACCGGCAATATACTTTTAAAGTTCCTTTAAATAAGACAGACAAGGATATCTACCAGAAGCTACTTTAAAAGGCTGCTGTATGCATGATTTATTCGTGTATGGTACCAAAAAAATCACAAGGTATCCTATTAATGAAGATTTTTGTTTTTCGGTATTCTAAATTATCGATGTACGTATTAATTGAATACGCATATAAATTTCCTCTTCCGTGGCTTTGCTTCAGTGCTCTCTGCCAAAATTGGCCTGTGTTGTACAGTAAAATGTGTTGTCATTTGTAAATATGTTACACCGCTCTAACAACCCGAATACATTAAATCATTACATAAATGCCACCTTAATTAATTATAATTAGGAATTCACAGTGGCAAATTAACTGTGAAAATTGAAAGTACTGTATTCCTAATACTGTAGTCAAGGCTAAGTCGCCACCAAGTGGTCAGGAATAAATGTGGGTTTATGTTGAACATTTTTGAAAAACATCATAGGGAAAACTATGTCAGGGATTTATATAGGCTAGCAGAAAAATCGACGGAAAAACAAAACATCTAGATGAAAAAATATGTTGATTTATTTGTTTTATTTTGCACTAAACAGTAGACACTTCGCTTCTCCAGAAATCATAGTAGCTTAGTTACCCATCAGGGGGATGGAGATCGCAAACCCACGGTGGTCGCGGAAGTCCTTTGCATCTCACCAAATCCGGAAGCGTTCCAGCTGATCGAAATGAGGGACTATGAGGGAGCAAGTAACAAAATGCCCCGCCAGACTACTGTTGCTAGCTAGCTTCAGTAATTTTATATATATATATTTGCTTGGCTATAGTTATACTGGGGTCGTCTCTTCACTCAGTTTTCGACTTTGCCTCTCATCTTGACCTTTGAATTTCGGTGTTTGAACTCTGGATAAGTTCCGGATATCCATCGTTGGCCATTGCCCATTGTTTCACCTCGGATGTCGTTGACTCCAGACCTCTTCTATAACCGCCTCCCAGCCTTCCACCCGCGGACTCCACTCTACGATATATCAACCACGATCGTGATCGGCTACTTATTGAATGTATGTAGGGACAATATAATGTGAAACTCAGTATAATATAAAACATTAAAATATATAAAAATATATAAAATTATAAATAAAAATTATAAAATATTTTATTAATGTTCTTCACCTGTGTTTCGTATGGGTGTGACTGACATCCTTATACTTTACAATAATCTATTCTTTTTTTCTTAGGAGAAAATAATTACAACATAATAGTAATAATTAACAGTAAAATAATAGTAAAAAAAATGATCGCGAGTAAAATAACATAACACAAGACGGTTTATATACTTGCTTTCAAAGAGGTTTATTGAAGGAAAAGTTGGACATTTCATCCGTTTATGGTACCATCACACAGTCAAGACCCCATAGCTTATTTCCTCCAATTCACTGGTGCTTGATATAAACATGGCTATAGAATTAATTCTCCTTGAGGTGTTGGGCTCACTGTTCTTCTTCAGGTCTCCTTCTGGCATGTTAGTATGCATTTACTGCTTTCTGACACAGCATCTTAACGCGTGCCGATCAGGCGATCCAGAAACCAGTGGCCCAGAGCTAATCTCGTCCCTCCATTTTCAGTGCAGCATGCAAATAAAATGTGCACAACGTTTATTTATTTTTTTTCATCTTCATTATTTTGATCGGCACCATCACCGTTATTATTAATATTAATATAATCATGAATATGATTATTAAAAACTGGACAAACGCTTCTACAGTTTGCATTCTGGAGCATGCCACGGATATGACAGTTTCTGCATAGTGCTGGCTACAAGAGTGCCAAGGCTGATTCAATTACAAGATTCTCATATACAGGGAAGAGGCAATAAAAAATCTAGTGTAGACTTACTTTAGGGAAAAATATTTGTCAGAGTATCTACAAATGCCAGACCTATATCAGAAACATCCGTCGATATGAAAACAGTCTCGTCTACTGAGAGGCATCAGGTTTAAATGACAATCTTCCAGACGTTAAAGGGTGCAGTGTGCCTTTGTAGGAGGCAGTGTAAGAATTATGTTACAGGTGATTTGTTGCAGATACCTGTACTAAGATGAAGACTGCGGGCTGGTATCACGAAGCTGGATTTCTTGCTTAGCCGGACAACTTGTCAGATTTAAGGTGGTCTGGGCTAAATGTAAGTGAACACAGATAAAGTCGATTTAAACCGGGGTACATCCGACAAGTCATCTAGCTAAGCAAGAAATCCTGCTTTTTGCGTTACAGCTCCTAGGTTTTGTTTGTTAAGGTGACAGCCAGTACGGTTTTCAAATGCCTGAGCGAACCAGTTGAATGAATTGAGGAAGCAAAACATCCTCGTGTGAGGATACTTCAGAACAAAGCTACTTTTACAGCAGGGGCCTGTATGAAGGTGGATTTCTTGCTGAACTGGATAGCCTGTCAGATTTGAGGTAGCCCAGTTTAAATGGACTTTATCTTTGTTCACATACATTTAGCCCAGACTACCTTAAATCTGACAAGTCATCGAGCTAACCAAGAAATCCTGTTTTATGATACAGGTCCGAGGTTATGACAGAAATTAAGCTGAGACTTACAGTTGTAAGCGGTTTGCCAACAATAGGGCAAGTATCAGAGCAGTACAGAAAGGAAATGGACCTGAATCAGAGGAAACAAGACAATCTGATTCACAGGATAACAGTGGACATCTTACAGTACTGCGTGAAGGTTGAAGTGGAAAGTGAAATCATCCCTCAGTTTGGCATCAGGGATAGAAAACTCCAGTGGTGTTACTGTCATGTGCTTAAATGTTTTTTTTTCTTACAGACTAAAGCAGTATTAATGTCTTTACATTAAGTACATATACACAGGTTAAAACACAATTTGAGGACTGAGGTTTCTGTTAATTGGTAAATCATGTTATACAGTGCCTCAGAAGTCCATGTGACCCTCAGACATGGGAGAAACACTTGGCTTACACTTTACACATGTCCACTGTGCAATACTATATCACTGGGGGTCACTAATACCTCACCCCCATCGTCTTTCAACACTAAAATTCATACCTGCCAAGAATAACTGAATCAGCTTCATGGGATTAACAGGTTATGCTAATAATGGCTGTAAAGGTCTGGTTAAAGTCTTTAAAAACACAAAATATGCTCATTTGAAAATAAACAGTTAAACTCTACTTTGGGACTGGCAAGGCATTTGGAATTGCTGCAAGGGGCTGTGAAACTTAAGTCCTGGACGGAATTGCAGGGTACTCTGGTTTAAGTTCCAATAGAGGTTTACTGTTCAGTTTCAATTGTGTAAACTACTTTACCGTAAATTTACTATAATCAACTTTACTGTTGACCAAAGGGTCAAATGAAATCACAGACACATTCAAATTAAACTGCAGTGGGTCTACAAGCAATGTGTTTAGTTTGTAAACCAAGATGCTGGTTTTTGAACCGTGTTTATTTTATTTTTTCTAAATTAGGAAATCAGTTGCTGTAAAATTATTAGGCAGCCCTGTCACCTGATACTTCTGTGTCACCTTCACATCACCCACAGAGTGTGATTATCCATCGAGGCTGTACCCCTGGCATCTGCCCTATGCTGCCTGGCATAGATGGGGAGGATCGATGAATTGTTAATTAATAAAATCTCTTCTGTAACAAAAACCTGCTGCCTGTCAGGACTGGAATTCGACAGCCCAGCTTTGGACTGAATGTTAATATCAATGCCCAGGACTAGTAATGCAAATCAATGCTTATTTTTATAATGGACAAGCTGTGAATTTTCAGACTCATGTTCAGTCTGGGTAAGGAACTTTGTAAAAATACATACTAATACACAGGAAAAAATATTCATAATTCCAATAGATTTTGGGGTTTGGCAAATATGTGGTCATACAGTAGATTGACAGCTCAAATTTTACCTTGTTACAGTTCATTACAAACTGAGGTGTGTAACTCGACCAAATGGAATCTCTGGTGAGGATTAAGTCCAATTAAAAGCTGCTTTGCCATGTTTTCACTACACAGAAATGGATTTGGGAAAGGATCCACAAGACTGTCAAAAATCCAGTGCATATTCTTCCATCAGAAGAGAAATTCTGATATTTTTCTTTGCGACAGAAGAATACGTGTTGATTACTGAAGAAGATACAACACCCAAGAAATAAAAAACATACAATACATACCTTCATTTCATTGTGCAACGCAGTACATTACAATCAACCATCTTTCAAAGTACAACCTGCCATCCACTCACCAAGATGAACACCAGAGGAGTTCTTCTATGCCACTCTGAAGACTATCTCCAGAAGGAGGTAGGGAGAAGGACCACCCGCCCAAGAGAATGGATCAAGAAGACATGGAAGGTGATTAACAGAAAACTACAGTCTTCATGAGCAAGAACTCTTTCTCTATATATTATATTGCTGTAGTAGGATCCAGCAGATCACCACGCGGACGAATTGCGATCCACAGGCCTTAGCAAACTTCAGCAAACCTTTGGACTGAAAATCGACACACTCCTGTAATAATTTAACATTTCTCTTGCTGAGTTTGCATATGGTTCGAGGATTCTGTCATTCAAAATCTGTACAAGGTTTATTTTAAGAATGTGATATGTTCACCAGTAATTAATGGCTTTGAACACCCCACTCCCCTACAGCAACAGTTAGAAACCACATTCCATCTGGTGGATGCGCTTTGGGAAATGGACTCCAGGGGGCAGCAGCCACACATCTGTTAGGCCAGCTAACGCAGAAGTTCACTAACAATGTCAGGAAGCAACGTGGACGAGAGGTGGGCTGAGTGCCTACGCTGTGCACGTTTGTCTCACTGTTCCAACGCCAGTCTCAGCAGTAAAGGGAAAGTCCATCCAGTGTAGCCTTTCGCTTCACTACACGCTTTGCAGTGTCTTGACCTGCTGTGAAGGACAATGAGCTGGAGATGGATGGGTCTAAACTCTAATCTCCAGTGGTTCCTCAAGTCAGCCAAGAAGAGGGGTAAGTGGGGTAGTGTTGTGCAAGGTAGGTGGGAAGCACCCTAGGAAACTCCCACAGCTGATGGAAATACGAGTAGGAAGTGGTGAGCACTGGTGGTCTCCTCCTCGGCGTGGAGGGACTACAGGGAAGACCTGGATGAGATGCTCCAAGGAGGACCTAGCTCCCCGGGTCAGAGATGTGCCTCTGCGGCGTCCGTGAATCCAGAACCACCTGCTGCCCCGGCAGCGACAGCCTCCGCTGTGCCTCGGGGTCCATCGCGGAGGTCCCCGTCACCCCGTCCAGCCAGTACTGGGGACCGGCCAGGCCAGAGAGCCCTGCCTCCTGGTTCCTGGTTCCTAGGGAACCCGGGGGTTGAGGCTCCACCGTACTATTCTGGGACTCGCATAACCTGGCAGAGGGTCCCTCAGAGCTCTGGGAGACCAGGATCTAGGGAGAAGACATCAGAGTTGAGAGGAAGGTCAGTAGTGGCACGGAAGTTAATATGTCTGAAAACAAAGACATGGACTTTGGGTCATCAATCTAAAACTAAACTGGAGAGACAGCCACAATAAATTCAATTACAAAGGCTTTAGTCCCTTGAAATAAGTGTACAAAAGATGCAGAGAACTACTCCTCATGATCTCATTGCAATGTGATGCTGCTCTTTTCTAGTACTCAAACCAGGTATGATTCTAGGATTTGATATTTTCAATTAGAAGAAATATGGGACAAAAATACAGAACAAATCAAGTAAATAGAAAAATAATTTTTCAGGGGCCTGAGACAAAAAAATCCATAATTATTAAACTAATTATCAGGGAGAACTGAAAACATGGCTTGGATCTGGAAACGAGGTCCAGATTTTAAGACCCCCGGCCTATTATGTAAACACTGACTGCTGCTACAGTATCTGACCACATGACCTCTTGCCATTTTACCTGTGAGAGCGACTGCAGGGTGTCGGGCTCCAGTGGGGGGACCGGCTGGACCAGCCTCTCCCCGGGGCCGGAGCAGGGCGAGGGCTGAGGGGGGGACGTCACCGTACTGTAGGCAGGGGGCACCAGGACCATTTGCCTTTGCAGCAGCTGCATGATGGTGCTGATGTCGGTGGACATGCGTATCTCTAGCCTGTGGGCACAAGCAGACGGCTCAGACCCCCGCCTTTCATTAGGTCATTAGGCCCAGAAGACACTGTCCTCCTCCTTGACCTAAATGTGCAGGCTATTTGTGAGAAATTACAGGGCTGCTGTATCGATCTGACGTCAGCTTCTAGCAGATACGTCACAGGATAGATTGTACTTTTTATGTAAGTGAAAAATACTGCTTTCAAAGCTATTTAAAATGAATAGTGCTGCAAATGACTGGACAGAACACAGCACTGCCTCTCCATACTGGCCGGATGGAAGTGCTTTAAGATTACAAAAAAATCAATCTAGAAGGATGTCAGATAATAGAAAATAACACACGTTGCAGATGGAGGGCCACAAGGAGCGACATTAAGTTAAGGGTAACCAAGCGTTACGCTGAGGATCCTGGGTCATCTTTACATTCCATCCTCTTAATCAGGCTGATACAGGATCCCTAACTGCGGTTTGGTCAGCACTAGAGGTGGAAATTTCAGGTCCAGACAGTACAAAACCAGACCAAGATTTTGTTCCAACCAACCAGTAGAATACTCTGTGACTGTGACTCTGGTTGAAATTAAATCTTGGTCTGTATTTGAAATTTCTGGACATGAAGTTTCCACCTTTAGTCAGCACAATCTTGGGTTTATCTAGCACCATTATGCACTTTTAATGCAGTTACCTATGTAGACAGCTCTCTGGAACAATTCCAGACACCTTATCATAGGCATGCTAATTTCAGGGAGGAGGATGAGAAAAGCTAGGGTGGGCGGGGGGGGGGTGCTGGCTAGACCTGGGCAGTAATACAGTAATACCATATATCATGGCGTTTCCGTTCAAAAAACTGGTTGGTTGAACATTGGAATAGCGTCATTTTTAAAAATTTGGTCAGAATACCACATACCAAAATATAATGTCTGGTAGGTACGGTAGTATTACAGTAAGTAATAATTTTACCACCAGTGAAGAATAAGATGACAGATTTCTGGGACATCCTTCGGAGGTGTCAGGGTGTTGCTGCCCAATATGCAGGAGACTCCCAGAATATCAGGGAGGGGTGGGCTGTCTGCGTTTCAGGTGAAGTACCTTCCTCAAGGATGGTCCAACAGGCCCAAAGTCCTCGTGAAGTTTTAGCTGGCACCCTTCAATCTACAGGTCCCTACTGGCTCTTAATTTCCTGTTCTCCATACAGCAACAATGTTTGTCATGTTATTCTTGCACATGCACTAATCTTCTAAATGCCCCGAAAAAGTCTCGTGTGACCTGGCCATTGACAGACCCCGGGTTCAGAAGCTATAACCCTGTCTCAGATCAAGTAATTGGACGTACCGCTCTGACTCCCCTTGCAGCCACGCCGGCCGTCTGCACCCACCTGTGCAGCTGTTTCTGCAGCAGCTCTAGACGGTTCTCCACCTGGCTCCGCTGCCAGCGGGCCATGCCGTGGGTCGGCGTGGCCGATGTGGGAGAGGAGGCCGGACCGGACCGGGGCAGTTCCTGGTACTGCCGGCCGCGACTGTCACCCCAGAAGCTGAAGATGTTTGACACTCCGGAAAACGCACCTAAGCAATGGAGAGAGAGAAAGGAGGGGGGAGAGAAAGAGAGAGAGAGAGAGAGAGAAGGGGGGGGGGGAGAGAGACCCAGTTTTAATAGTGAAATACTTTAAATTTCAAATTTTCCCAAGGGAGGGTCTTGATGCAACTGCATTCAATTAACATTTTTACCTCTTTATACAGGTCTTTATACAGGTCTTTATACAGGTCTTTATACAGGTACATATATTAATATCTCGGATAAAGTTACTCAAGGGTCCTCAGTATCATCAAAGGCCTTTTACTGTGACCAGACACCTTTAGCAAAATACTTTAACTTTCATATTAATAATGTAAAAGGGCACTTGATCTTATCCTTGCAAATGTGACATGCAGCTCATTCAGGGAATAATGCCCTGGTATAACTTTTTGTGGTCGATGAGGACAAAGAGCGGGTATGGATTTTAGAACCGGATGTGCGAAACAGAGCAGCACAAGCAGGATGGACGTGACGCACCAGAGAGCGCATTGCAGGTGCTGCCAGTCTTAGGATCCCCGTCCACCTCCGGAGCGTTGCTCACGTTGACGTGTGTCCCCAGTTCCCTTGGCAACTCCAGGAGGGCGGAGGGAGGGGCGGGGCAGGTGAGAAGTAACTCCTCCCCCTCTTCCCCACTGGAGTGAGAAGACACGGAACTGCGTGGCCCCTCCCACTCTACCTTACAGCCCTCTGTCTGGTTGCTGACAGTCTGCTTTCTTGCCCGGCGGACTGGCCTCTGAGACTTCTTTATCTCACCTGCTTTCTCGTCATCTGAGGGAGGAATATTTCATCCAATTTACTCACCCATCCAATTTACATCCATGAAGGCGGGGCCTAAAATGGTAAAGGCCAACCTCGAGGGCCATGCGATTAGCCAACGAAATGACCCGATGGCGTCACGGTAACCTTTTTCGGTCCTGCGCCGGAAGGACAGCTTCCGTCTGCGCAGCCGGTTGAAGCCGATGCAGTCCGACTCGTCGCTGCTCGGAGAGCCGGGAATCATGTTAGTCTGGAAGAGAAAGGGGCACCTCAGGGTGACATCTGCCCAAATTCACACCCTGAGCAGCCTGTCATAGGCAGAGACTTCACACTTTAACACACATGCCTCCAGAAAAAGGTCAGATATAAAGCGGAACCAGGCCATACCAGAGTAACTGTTGGTACATTATTAAAAATGCAGTGATAAGCAATCATAAAAAATTACCTACAGATCTGTTAATGCAAACCAGTAAACTGTTATTAATAAAAGCTTGAATTATATTGGTGTTATTTTAAAGCAATGCAAGGCAAACGATACCGATTATTCACTGAGTGTTGTGATTGCAGTGGTGGCTTGATGGTTAGGGTAGCGCACTTGTAATTCAAAGATTGCAGGTTCAAATCCCCCACCAGCAAGTCACCACTGAGGTACCCTGAGCAAGGTACTGCCCCCAAGCAGTGCTGGGTGCTGAATTAGCTGCCCCATGCTATGTCACAAAAGTCACATATGCGTCAAATGCAGAGGACACATTTCGTTGTTGCGCGCTGTGGTGTGTTGACAATGATGACTTAATTCTTGATATCTACCTATCAGATGTAATTCAAAACTGTAGCCTATATGTTACCCCATCAGCATCGGCCAAATCTCAACATGCATCACAAGGCAAAAAAGCGTATTGGGAGGTTGGCAGGCTTCGACAGTTTAGAAGAAAATGAGGAGGTTAAACAGACAAGTGGGCATGACCTTCTGCCCCCCACCCCCATTCAGATGCATTCTGTGGTCTAATAACTGTGTGGAAAACACATTTGATTTTAATTATGATATTTTTGGAATTATTGTGCACCACCATACCCAAGACAGCAATGACGAGCAAAACAAGCCATTAATGTCACTAATGCTCATTTATTGGGTAGCCATTACAACCTGCCTATCCCCCCTCTCAGCCCAAAGAAAAGGCCCTTTGCAAAGGACAACTTTATCATCCATGACAAAGACAAATATATTAATTTGCTCGACTCAAATATACTATTAATCCAAGCGTTATAAATTTTTTCGTCCAGTCGCAATGTGCCATGACCCAATTATACGACTGGATGTTCTACTGCCTCAATTCGGGTTAAATATCCCATTAAGATGTGGCAGCATGATCTGAGGAAGGAACAAGAGACCTTAAAAATATACAATAACTGAAAACATTTTGTATAGAGGAATGGACTAAAATACCTCCTCACCACTATTGCCAATGGATGTCCAACCCATAAATTAACAGCCTTTTCCCATCAATGCCTTTGATTGTTTGAACCATTTGTTCAATAAAGACAATGTAAAATGTTGTGAGTACTGTTTGTTACATAAGACTGTCACAAATCTTTCTCGAGGATATTGCACGATTGTCCTTCCTAGGACCTGGTCCAGCAGCCTTTGAGACAGATCCATTACTATACAAAATCAGAATAGGCAAAGGAGAAGACTCACGTCGCGCAGGTCAAAGGTGATCTCCAGATTACTCCAGAAGTGATCAGAGAACTCAGGGTACATGTCCAGCACCTCCAGAACGTCCTCACGGTGGATCTTGTGCAGGTCGCAGTAGGTCAGTGCCCTCACATCTGCCTTTGACTTCCCAGGACGTGCGTAGAGGTTGATGGGTTCACCAAAGATATCATTTTTACCTGTGGGACACAGGTTACTTCATCATTTAAGTCAAGACAGAGTGTCTAGTAGAATATGCGAATTTGTGACTTTATAGCAAGCTATTGAACTGTAACTTAAAGGGAACTGCTCCATGTGTAGCACGGTATTGCATAGCATTGTCTGTAGCAAGCCAAGCAGTGCACCACTCTGCAGAAGGTTTAGTGTAGACATAATTTATTAAGGTAACGGAAGAATTACTCTATTGTAAAAGGGCAGAGTTAGGTAATTCTGGTCGAGAGAGTAAAAGTCCAGACCAAGATTTTGTTTTAACCAACCAGTTGAGCTTAAAGAGTTACAGTCACAGAGTACTCAACTGGTTGGTTGAAACAAAATGCTGGTCTGGACTTTTACTCAACTATGAACAAGGGAGTATGTATGTATGCAGTTTGGAAGAGCACCACCAAACCATCAAGTGTTCACTACATTGCTCCTGTACTTTTTAAAATATAGTTTTTGGCTACGTTCACATTCCCAGGCTAAAGTGACTCAAATCTTATTTGTTGTCTTAATGTGACACAGATCTGATGTTTTCAGGGCTGCGTGGACATAGAAATCTTTTGATCTTTTCATATCAGATTGGAGTCACTTTTGCATGTGGTCCTAGAATGGATACACATCCAATTCATGGTCATGTCACATGTATGAGAATGTTCAGATTGGAATGACACAGATGTCTCATGGAAAAGCATGCCAGTGTGCAAATATGTGCATTTTCAGAGGACAGATCCATTCACATTAATGTTAGATACAGGTCACTTGTAGTAATGAATGTGAACCATCAAGATAGGCAAATCTAATCTGAGCAAGAAGTCGGAGCTGAATAATGAGGCGTGTAATGTGAAGGAAGCCTTTGTTTTGCATCTTATCAAATTTTTTAGCGTGTGACTTGCTGTAGGATACTAAAAAATGGACTGTTGTTACACAATATGTCCAGCATGTGGCACTGTAAGCCAAGCCAAACAGCGGCAGATGAACAACAGCGCTAACGCGGCTGCAGCAGCCTGAAGTTCAGCAGTCGGCCACAATGCATCACAGTCAAATGAAGAGTCCACCGTGTTTTTGTTTTCACACAGATAAAACCATCTGATCAGTCAGTATAGTCAAAGATACCAGTGTACAGCACAGTTACAATGTACTTCCTTAGCAAAACACGGAGCAAATATACACAGTGTTAATGTGCCCAACACAGCTCACCAACATTAACTAGTGAGAAATTAAACTTATTGCTTCAAACATTTAAATTATATTAATTTACTAAGCAGACGCTTTTATCTAAATCAACATATGATTGAGAGAGCAAGGCCAGCCAGTCCCTGGAGCAATTGGGGTTAAGCGCCTCGCTTAGGGGCCCAATGGAAAAATCACTCTGCCAACTCCAGGACTTGACTTTCCAGTCACAGGCACATTTTAATAGTAATATATATATATATATATATATATATATATATATATATATATATATATATATATATATATATTATAATTTTTTTTTCTACACAAACACTATGCAATTATTCATGTCTGCAGTGGTGAGGTATATTGGGTTTGTACCCTACAAAGGATTAATCATAAGCTTACAAACATCAGAATCAAAGATAAACTGCCCAGCCTGCATAAACAGCCGGCCCATATCCTCACCCAAGATGGCCACCACCACGTCCTCGCGCAGGATCTCGATGGAGCCGCGGGAGATGAAGTAGAGGGCGGTGAGCACGTCGCCGGCATGCACCAATGTGTCGCCGGGCGGGGCGTGCGTGGTCTTGAAGCGCATGGCCAGGGCGCGCAGGCAGCCCTTGGAGGAGCCCTTGAAGGCCTTGCAGTTCTGCAGCAGTGTGCGGTTCAGGTGCAGGCAGATGTCGGCCTGCAGGCACTCGGGGAAGCCCTTCAGCACCTGAACGGCACGGGGGACACCATCCTCTCAGGTAGTGCCTAAGAAGCTGACATTCGCAATTACAACAAAATACCCAGAATCCTTTGGGTCTGTAGGGACATCTGATACCCAGGAAATATGGAGTAACACTGTGAGGCAAACAACATTGGGGGAAATAATCATGATGCCTTTTTTCTCATGAGCCTTCCTCATTTCTGTATTCCATTAAATTAATGTGTAGAGGCTTATGGTACAATGTTGCATTGCAACGGGTCTCAACTGTTATATAAATTTTCCGATCATTTGGGATGAAGGTCTTAATTTAACGCGGTTCAGCAGACAGCATGTCCCAGATAATGCGTATTGAGCGTGCATGTAGGGTGTCGGCAGAGCTGCACGCATTTCGGTTACTTTTGTTTCCTGTTAAATATAAATGCCAGTGGTATTTTACATAAGGCCATGTTTTTAGTTATTTATAAACACATTCATAATGCATTAAAATGCATTCATAACGTATTTATAAACATGGCTATAGACATTTATAAAAAGACATAACACATTATAGCTATATGTATTATGCATTATGAATTCTTTATGGAGCTCTTATCTATAATGCACTATAGATCCTTAATTTTTATATTTTTATACCGACCATTATAATGCATTATAAAGGTATCTATAGTGCATTATAGATAAGAGCTTCATAAGGCAGCCGTAAAGCATTATAAACATGACTATAAATATTTATAAAAAGTAATAGCACATTATAAAGGTATCTATAGTGCTTGGATAGGAAAATGTACAGTCCCGGACTGGGGGTCCCCTAGGACTGGATTGAGAGATACTGGTATAATGTAAGAATACAGCATTAAGCCAAGGGCGTATGTTTGGTTTCAACATTGGTAGGAACCAAATCAGCCTCTAATCCCGCACCCCCTAAACACAATATTCCCATTACTGTCCATATCCAACTCTACATCCTTGGCATCAGGCAAGGGTGTAACTTTGGCTGTAACATTGAGGGGGTTGAGGTCTCCACCCATTACGGGGGAAGCATGATTATTGGTGGGGTTGTATTAGCTGGTTTTGATTTATTAGCCCCCCCCCCTCATCCCCCCTGTAATTTACGCCCATGGAATCAGGTGTAAGACAACATGATCATAGATTACTACAGTCCTGGCAAGATTAGTGGTAGGAGAAATACTTGGATACTACTGGGATTTTGCATGGTAATCAAGGGGTAGCAAGGTGGCCTGGATGCATGTGCGAGGCACACTGACCGCGTTCATGTCGATGCCGTTGGTGTAGGACCAGGCGTGCTGAAAGTACTCCTCCAGGCGCTGGCGCAGGGGGTTGGGGATCTGGTGGAAGCGGATGAACTCCCGAACCCGCAGCATCTGCGTGTGGTAGCGCGCCGTGCCCGAGTACAGCCGCTGGATGATGGCCGACACGTTGCCGAAGATGCTGGCGTACATCAGGGCTGCCCGGGGAAGAGAGAGCGAGGGGGTCAAAGGTCACACGCCAAGGAAGAACACTTGGGAACAACGGATCGGAGTTGTGAATTAAATTGCGTGGGCATCTCTACCTATTGTGTAGCCCACTTTAAACCCTGTGATTCCTGAGGCCCAGATCACTGCAATCCCAGGCTGGAAAACTTGCTATTAAAAAGGGACGGATGAGTAAGAGTATATTTATGATGCTAATCACAGTATAGCATAGGTCTGACTCATTGGTGCCTTGGTGCTTTATTCATAACCACTGCTGCAGGTTCAATATTTGTATGTTTTAAATGCTGAATTTACTGACTTGGACTGGTGCCTCTGTGATATGAGATGCATAAATTAGCTTGTTTTATTTTTTTCAGTTCATGGCTATATAACCTTCTGACATACGTAGCGCACATTTGCATATATTTGTAAATTAACCAGCAGCTTCGAAATTCCCAGCTCCTCTTGCTTTTGTAGTTGCACAAAAGCGAGCCCATGGCAAATATCATTTGCAAGTCATGACACAACCTGGAACTGGACAGCCGTAGCAGTAGAAGAGCTAGAGCTTCAGGACAGTATCACAGCCCCCTCCTGAGGGGACTTGGGTAACTGCGGTATAGGACTGTGAGTAATGAGTAATTAGCACCCCCAAGCCTGGTCTCCAGCTGCAGGGGTGTTAAGTCCAGTGACTCCCAGCATGACAGCATGAGTCAGAGGATGATGGTCATCAAGCAAATTTCCTTAAACACACTGTGAGCCTATTGTTGCATGCTGGGCTGCTGTAATTACTAGTAGAATTGCATAATTCCAAAAGCAAATGCTCTTTCTATACCATCTGGGTAAGCACCTTTGATTGATTCTTACAGCCCTGAAGCTATCCTCGGACCATGCTGATGGGTTTTGGCCTATTGCCAGTTTACCAAGGGTTGTTGCCTTCACAATGGTGCCAGAGAACATTGGGATGAGAATCTGTGTGGCCACATTTCTGGTGAGAAGCAAGTCTACAAGTTTCTGGCCAAGGCTATAATGTAGGACAATCATGATTAAGAAGGGTGGCTTCAACTCATAGGGAACATGATCCAGTGATGATGTCATGGTCCCAGATTAATTAGCATGGGAGCCTTTGCATAGGTCATCCCCAAAAAGAGAGGATGGTGTTGAGTGCTACAGCACATAGACATTTATGGATGATCTCATTCATCCGTGGGGCACTTTTGCTGCATAACATGATGCCACACCCAAGTTAACCCCTTTCCAGTGCAAGTTGGAAAGCCATTTATCAATACCAGTAAAAAACAGTGCATGGCGCATTATTTAGTGCATTCAAACACCATAGCAACATGTCCACAGATAGCGGTTAGACAGATCTGTGTGTACAACTGATACAAATATGACATAAATGCAAATAAAAATACAAGTCAGAATTCCGACTTCAGGGGGAGGTCCAGTTGAAGTTCAGACTTCCCAGTTCAAAAGAAACACACCAATATTACGGAAAATAAAACATTTTTTCTCCAGTAATACAACACTTGATTGTACTACTGGAGACAGATTAGCATCCCATACAGCAGGGCTTTTCAAATCACAGTCCTCAAGGTCTGAACACTGCTGATTTTCCAGCCTTCCTTTTCATTTGAGCCAGGTATGAAGCTTCTGTGACCAATCAGAATCAGTAGCTATTAAACTAACTACCTGGGATAACTAAAAACAAAGCCTGGATTGGGAATTGAGGGACAGATTTGAAGAGCCCTGCCATACAGGGTGTCCCCTGCCTACTGCCCTGTACTTCTGATCTTGTACTGGGTAAGTGAGGATGGATGGATAGATGGACTTCCTAGGCATGGTGGAGGACTGACTTACAGCCGATGAGCATGACGCAGATGGAGAAGATCTTCTCCGAGTTGGTGTTGGGCGACACGTTGCCGAAGCCCACGCTGGTGAGACTGCTGAAGGTGAAGTAGAGTGCTGTGACGTACTTATCCTTGATGGACGGGCCCGAGCCCTGGATGGTCTCATTGTAGGGCTTCCCCAGCTGGTCGGCCAGAGAGTGCAGCCAGCCAATGGAGCCGTTGCGCTCCACGCTGCCGATGGCGTACCAGATGCAGGCCAGCCAATGGGCGATAAGGGCAAAGGTGCACATGAGCAGGAAGAGCACCGCCGCACCATACTCCGAGTACCGGTCCAGTTTGCGAGCCACCCGCACCAGCCGCAGTAGGCGGGCAGTCTTCAGCAGGCCAATCAGAGTGGTCGTCTGGGGGGGAAGCGGTAAGCAGATGTTCAAAAGACTAACCAGGAAGCTACATCTGCAAGAATCACATGATCTGTATGTTTTATTTTTATTAATACTTTTACATATTTGACAGGCACGTTTGGCCAAAGTAACATACAAGTGAGGCAGATAATATATACCACACATTATTTCCCAGAAGAATTATTTCCAGGAGTACTACCAGTAGGATCTCCTTCATTGAAGGGGCCAGTTTCAGTTTCCTGGTTTTGATAAATGTAATTGCATTTTGTTTCTCTCTCTGAAACCCACTGAGCAAGACAGATGGGACTGGGACACCTGTGGCGTGGGCAAAGTCAGGTGACCAGGCGCACTACCCAGCCTGTAACAGTATGAGAACTTAAGTCCTTTCCCCAAAATGAGACCAGGATGTCTGTAACATGAAGCCCGGTCCGGGTCCACCCCCAAAGTGTAGACCCCCGTCTTCCATAACCCCTTCAGGCAGCCAATCATCTTACAACAGTATAGTCTGGCACTATCGGTCTTCTTTAATAGCACATTACCTTGGCAATTTATTTAATTATTACTTTCCCCCCTCTTAACATTTAGCAATTTTATTAATATTTAATATTTTTCTGCTTTTCAGGATTCTATTTGGGTAATCTGTACCTTTTTTTTGTGTACTGTTTTGCATTTTGTCTTTTGTACTGAATGCATGTCCATATTCATCATGCCCACTTATCTATGCATTAAAATTCCCCTCTGGGATCAATGAAGTTCATTCTAAATCAAAATTTAATTCAGTCCCCAACTGCCCCCTTTTTAAATGGAATTTTGCAGAATCCATCCATCTTCACCCTCCAACACGCACGTCACGTGGATCTGTTGTTACGCACCATCCCAGAACTGCCTGCTGTATAAATAGGATTTGATTACCTCTCCCCTACATAGAGATCCAATAACTACCAGACAGATAGGAATGTGTTCCGCTCGCAATGAGGACTGTGGTGCAGGTAGACAGACAGAGCGTCAGTTGGCTGCAGCCACAATGAAGCAGAGAGGCCGCAAGGAGATCCAGGTGTTTGTCTGTAAGCACCGCACATGGGCGCCCTTCAGCATGAGCTCCCGCAAACGCACCGAGCCTGGCACCAACACGCCAGCCGCTGATTTATGCCAGGTCATAAATCCTCCACATCCATTGTTTTACGGAGCTGTCGGCCGGCCCTGTTCTTTCCTACAGATTACACTTGTTTTGAGAAGTTCCTGCTGTCCATGTGACAAATCTATTAGGGGCAGGCTAAAGGAGCCTATTTTTACCTGGTTAGGACCCCGGCTCGGTGGGCCAGAGAGACGCCTGTCCTGCCGACTGACAGCCGGTCTCCATGTTGCCAAATAACTGGCCAGGTGGCGTTTCTTTCTCGCCCTTTATCTTCTTTGTATTGATCTCTGATGTTACTGTCCTGAAAGGGCTTAGTTTATAAACCGCGTCGACATTTAGATCCCAAATGAAACCAATTCATTTGCATACAGAGGCTGTGTGATTCGTGAAATACTGCGCTCCATTCTTCACGTATTGCTTGTAAAATACAAGCCAAATTCCAAATTTTATTTTTTGATTGATTTTGTGTGGTCCACGATAAAAGTATGTTAAATTATTTCCCATGCAATCATGCGTTATGCTTCACGCAAGAACAATAATCTTCTTTCATAAAAACATTTCATAACATCAGTAGATAATGTAATGTAGCTGCATATACTGTATATTCAAATATACTGCATGTTTGCATTATGAAAACAGAGTCCAGGAAAAAAGAAACATACTTGGGGGCTGATTTGGTCCCTATCAGTGCTGAAACCAAACGTCCCTCTTTGTCTAATGCTTTATTCTTACATTATACCTGCAAGGAACTATTACAGATGCCGTTTGCACACAGGCTGACTGAGTGTACCAGCAGTGAACGGGGGTTTTGTCTGGTGATTTAGGACTTCTCCAGATAAGGCTTTTCGCATTAACACGTTAATATGAGTTTATTCTCATGCAAATGTGTAATTTAGACGAATCGTCAGAGGGTAAAAAAACAAGTGGATATCCTGAATGGCTTGATTAAACTTAAAACCTCAGATTATATATGTGAAGATTAAATTAGTCTGCTGCTAGTCTTTCATGCAAACGACTTCCTGTATGTACTTGTATCCGCAAAGGCTGTAATTTGCTCTGATGTCTTACCTGCTACTGACTGCCCCTATCATTTTAAAAGAAAGTATTACATCTTGCTATCAGCACTCATGTTGATATAAAACAGAATCAGCTACTTTATGGCACTATTTGAACTAGAAACCGAAAGCAGGTGACCGCTTCCAGTTATAAATGGACATCGGAAACTACATTACCCACAGTGCAACTAGATTCACGTACCTCCTCCCCATTGCGGTATATGAGAAGGTCAAAGGGAATGGCCGCCACCATGTCGATGAGGAACCAGCCCTTGAAGTAGTGCACTGCGATGCGGACGGGGTGGCTCACCACCTCGTCATTAATGTTGACGTAGGTGGTGCGGAAGTTGATGAGGATGTCGATGATGAACATGATGTCTACGATGAGGTCCACCATGCTAAGCGGAGTGCAGGTGTAGATGCAGCTCTCCATGGCCACGTTATCCTGGTCGCTCAGCAGGAAAGCGGCAGAGTAGGGAGTCAGGATGGCCGTGTAAATCACCAGCAGCAGGATTAACCAGTCCCACACCGCCTTGAAGGGGCTATAGTGCAGGACGGTCCACTTGTGGATGCGGGGAGCCTGGAGTTTGTACTCAGGGAGGACATCGGCACCCAGTGATAGCACCTGCGACGGGTGGGCAGAGAGAGACAGAGATGATGAGACTCAGAGGTTAAGGCTTCCATGCAGCTTCCCCATAGTGCATCAACTGGAAAAATGACAGCTTTAGGTTACAGTGTCAGTTAAACACTGTATTAACAGCAAATATATCCTAGTCACACTCCCACATATATAACAGTGTGAAAAAACTTTTTTTTCTTCATCTGCAGATGGCACAGCTGTCAAAGAAGACAAATGAACAGATTTAGCAGGTTTAAATAAGAGGTCACTTTAATATATACCCAACTGGATACTCAAAATGAGTCATTATGCCAGTCACTCAGTCATAAGAATTTTAATGAAAACCGTAGATCGATAAATAGGAACGTCGGTGATGGCCTTGCAGCAAGAGAAACAGATTTAATGGATAAAATGACACTTTCCCATTAAGATGCTGCTAGGCAGCTGACACTGGACCAGCTCGGCAAAGAGAAGGAAGATGAGGAGAGCACTGCATGAGGCCAGCTACATGCTGGAAGTAGCCATGGAGGTGTGGAGGCCACCCAGCAGGAGATGAAAGGCCTGCTTTCAACCACTGTGTCGTGGCCAAGTTAAAGACAATAACCAAAAAGCCTTCGGGGCAGAGAGCGTTTAAGGAGAACCGTGCCGGAATACTCATGCTGGTTATTCCATCCCTAACTTGCAGTTACATTCCTCACTGAATAAATAAGAAGGAAAAGAAGATAAAACAGGAAAAAAATATCAGAAAGCGGTAATTATGCTGGAACTCCATCTGTGAGCCATAAACTTAGGTAAATTGATATGCAGTCTGCGTCAATTTTCATTGGACCATGGACTTTTTTTTTCTTAGCAGTTGTGATAGACCATCCTGAGTATTGGCAATGGGTTGAAAGACCACGGATATTCCTCCAGGGGGTATATGCATAAATTTCTGAAAGCCCTGCATCCCCTGGGCTCCAAGGTCCCCACTAAGCACATAAACAGCCCTGGAGTACAACTGTGATACCCGCTAGTAACACTGATGTTTACAGATGCCAATATTTGCACTTCCCCTTGCGTTCGTTACCAGCCAGAACGGAATTGCTGGATGGAGAGCCCCATTAATTTCTCAGTAAATCAAACGTGAGTTTAAATCGGATTATAAAATGATTAAGGCAATCATTATACTTCATTTGCATAAAAATGAATAGAAGGTTGGCGTAGCTAACATTATTTGGCGGCGTATCAATCCGACGCGAATTTAATTCTATCAGTTGCCGCTACACAACAACTTCATTTCAAGGGCCTTGTACAGAAAAATGGCCATTTCATGAACTGACCAATGATGATGCGTTATTCTTCAGCCTATGCTGTCGTGTATAGCAGATAAATAATTGATTAGAGTCAATTTAAATGCCACAGAATGGCCATATTCTCCTATTGGAACTGCCACTTCTCCCTCACAGGGTGAGCTAACCTCAATTACCCAGGAAATTACATAAAGAGTTTCCCAGCTTCAGGCAGAGAGATCCACCCCCATTTGTAGCCCGCTTGGAAGTCACAAACACACACATACAGTACACACAAGCGCACACACGCGTTTGTATTCCTGTCTTTGTGGGGACTCTCCATTCATTTCTATGGGTATAACCCTGATCCCAATAATGACAATGACAACCCTACCTAGCACTATGCTTAAGTAATCATAAGTAATCATAATATAACACAAAATATAAGACTTTTGGCATTTTTAGTCTTTTAATTGCATTCATCGATTTTTTTTTATAAAAACTGAGGTTATCAATGTTCCTACAAGTAAAATGTTACAGGTTTTTAAATCACATTGTGGGGAAATCTGGTCCCCACAATGTAATAATTACAATAAATACACAGACACACACTCATACACACCACACTGACACATGCAGACCTCAAACGCAGACACACACAAGGGCATGCTGTTTTGTCAGGACAATCAGAGATCTCTGTCCTTTCCGTCTCTGACCAGTACAGTGAGAAAAAAGAGTAAACAGAAAAAGGACCCAAGGTGCGAGAGCACAACTTCCCATGTCTGGCCTGACAGCTGGGTGAGGCACTGCACTGTTCCCTCCTGAAGGAGTCCAGCTGGCCTGGTCTCTTTCTTTCTTTACACAGAAAAAACATATTCAGCTGCGATGGTTATGACTTAGTAATGCAGTGATGCAGTGCAAGACTGTACCTTGTGGCATCATTTTAACCATCTGCAGCTTGACATTAATCAATGGTGAGAATTTTATGAAAGGCGCTACTTTAAACGTTCAGCTGTATTAAATCATAACAGAACTAGCAGTTGAGTCAAAGCCTTTAACAGAATGATGTAAAATTGCACTTTTTTAAGGTGTTTTGTCCATGCAGTTTTCTTCTTCACCGGTATTAGCTGAGCTTCATACAAAGGCCTTGCATTAGCCGGGAAGCAGAAAGGACAGGTAATGGTGCGACCCTGACTAACATCCCCACCAGCTCCACCCGCTTTTCACACGTCAAATCAAATGCCACGACGCAGAAGAGCTGAATACCCTCCTGAGCCCCCATAGGACAGATGATGTGACCTTCACAGCTGGCAGCCAAAAACACATCCCGCATGGAACAGACCCTGGCCTCCCTCTGTAGGATGAAGTTAATTTATTTCACTGCTAGAGCCTCCGTGTGCAAATCAATGAGCTGTTTCAGATTTAAACAAAAACCAACGAGGACACTGAGCAGTCACTCTAGTTAAAGTGTCCTTTAAAAATGACTCTTTCACCTTGTCTTTTGGATATGTGTTCAAAGTGGTAGTTATTCTTGTTTACTTCTTTTTTGGAATAACACCCAAGAATAGCAAACCTATTTTTCAGAGTAGGAAGGAAGTGAGGAAAGTAAGATGAAGTAGAACACAAGTAAGGAAACAGCATTCCACCTGAGAGTAACATTAACCGAACATCAACTTAATGGGTCTAAGGTACAACTGCTACAGTGCATGACTTGTGAGGCATTATTCAAACAGTGGCGACCACATTCAGTTACAGTGACATGAGCCTTGTGGCTATGAGAGCTGTATTCTTTTTGTCAGCCATAATCTAATCTAACATGCTGTCAGGCAGTGTGACACAACAATGTGTTTGTAAGCAGATCTGTCCTGAGCATTGTCCTTTTCACTGCCATTCACGACTGGCAGCAGACTGCTGCATCAGCTCAATGGACTTGCCATTGGGATATATTAAGCTTTAATCACCTGTGTTTGTTCCAAGAGCAGAAAACTAAAATATGAAACTTGCGCATTTGAGGTATGTAATAGATTGAAGCAAAGGCAGATTTTGACGTTGACAAACTGTATCTTGTCCTTGTCTGAATATCTAATAGCTACCCCACCCCCCACTTTACAAATATTTGCTTTATGCCACTTCGCTACATTAGCACTTATTTTCGGTAAATATGGAGAAGATTCTCATGTTTACGAAAAAAGGAAAAAAAAGAAAATAGCATTTAGCGTTTGTTGTGTTTTTTTCATCAAGACATTTAGGTTTTTCTCTAAAAAGCAATGCATTGTAAACAAATGTAATTAAACACAATATGCATTACACTGTATGTGTTAGAAATCTCATAAACAAAACGTATTGTCCAGTGTCTCGTCCTGTCCGCATCCAGGCTCAGAGCAGCTTCGCATCGGGTAAGCAGCTAGAGAAAAGGCATATATTACCATCCCATATAAATATTTATAAAACTGTCAAAAAGGCCAAACCACAAATATTAAAACGCTCTGTACTATAACCTGTGTGTGCCCAGATAAGCTTGTCTGGACTTCTGCAGAGACACAGCCCATGAAAAAGCACCTTTTAATCTCCAGAACGCCACATATTGATGTGCAAAATACCCAGAGGTGCACGCAGTCAGGGTTTACCACTCAGTAAATGAATACAAACTAAATCAGAGTAATAACTGCAGTTCTGTTTTTCTCAGCACTTGTCGATGAGCTGGTCAGTGTAGCGTGGTAGGTGGTAACTTTTTGCTCACTTTTGCACTTGGACTGAACCTTATTTCACCTGATCTATGGACATCACGACAGCTCCACTGAGCTTCATTAATATTTACTGTGACTATTCTCGCTCCTAATACGTCAGAGACACTCCAGCTTACTAAAGATCTATAACAGCTAAGAGGATTCCAGAGACGTTGATAGGGTAGTAAAGTGAATTCTGGGTAATTTTTCTTTTATATATGAATTCCATCCATTTCACGCCATAACAAATGGCTGATAGCTATTTATTAATTTTAGTTTTCTGCTTTGTCCTTGAGAAAATGAGACTTGAGGCTACGTGTGCCTCATCTTTCCTCGTCGATGGCTATGGCACCTATTTACCCACGATGCATCAGTCTCTTGGCACCTGCTCCACCTCTTTTACTGTACCTCAAATATTCAGAAGCACAAAAGCCAGATTCCATCTGAAACGCAACACGCCTCGCTGCTGCTACCAAACAAATTAAAAACTAGCTCCGTGTGCACTCCAAATAAGATCACATTCTCCCAGCTTAACTTGCTAATGAGCTACGCTAATATAAGGACGACTGGTGCTGAGATAGAGGCGTGACTCAGTAACTGTGGCACACTCTGTTTTTTTGAGTGCCTGTCTAAGTGAGAAGGCTATACACTGGCAAACCATATGGGATCTAAATTGTCCCTACTGTCACTCTTTAGGGTGCCACAGGTGTATTAAAACTGTGTTTTTCCATGTTATTTCGGTCTTGAAATTGAATAGACAACCATAGCATCTAGTAATGTACTATAGTGACCACTTCACAGCTACAAATCTGGTAAACAGAAGATTATCTACATTTGTGGTAGGCACTATGGGTCAAAGTCCATGCGGCGCCCCAGGAAAGCTTCACCCCCCCATTCTGAGACAAAGTGAAATTGGCTTGCGAAGTCAGCACCCCCTAAGAAAATTGTGCTTGCATGCATGCATCCATACATCCATGCATCCATTTTCCAGATCTACTCATCCAGAGCAGGC